ATAGAAAGAGCGAAACACTTGACTTACTTTAAAAACTACATGTAATTTTTTTTTTTTTTTTTTTTAAAGGTTATATTCGAAGTAGTAACTATTAGTTAGTATTTTTTTTTTCCATTCATCGCAGGACAATTATATTTACACTTGTACCTAATAAATAATTTTGAACTGGTTATTTCATGCATATTATATATTTGTATTAGTGTCGTGTTACATATATAAATGATATATAACTAGTGATCGATCATACTAGAATCTAAAATCTAAGGGAATGATTAGCAATAATTTTACTATTTTCTCGTCATGGTGATGAAGGGTAGTTTTATTTATTTATTTTGGAAGGAGGGTAGTTTTTATCGATTGAATTTTAAATTTTCATTTAATTTTTGTATGTATATTGGAAGTGCCATAAATAACGGTGGTAAGTTGAAAAGAGCAGTAATGTCTCACTCAAAATTTCGTGGTGCTAATAAATGGTGTATCAGAAATTGTAAGAAATAAATGAAGCCTGGAACCACTGACCCCTCCAATCTACTGGAAATATAAAAGTTTGTGTATTAAACTTTTGTCCCATATATATTCCCATAATTTTTAAAATGTTTTTTTATAATATTTTTTTTTGGTAGGGTAACATGTACATTTTACTCCTACAAAATTTTTGGAACGAAATTCAATCCTATTTTGTATTAGGCCTCTTAATTACACCTGTAAGTTTATTTCATTGGTCAAGAGGGTTTACTTGTATCACGATAATTAAAAAGTTGTAAAAATTTTTTGACGGTAAGCTAGAATAATTTTAGGGTAATGCTATATGCAACTCTCAAAGCTAAGAATGAATAAGCACCCCATTCCTGAATAATTTATACAATTGAACTTGACTCACATGCCAATGCACTAGTTTGCCCTTAGATAAATTATGTGCCAAATTATGTTTAAATAATGTTATATTTTCATTTGCTTTTTCATTTTTAACTCCTTATATAGCCTTAAGGCCATGGTTATATATAGCATTTTCCATAATTTCGATCATTATGATCTCGCCCTTGTAATCCTACCGTAGTAAGTATATAGTTGTATAAAATTGTGGTACCCTAACAATATTATACGGAATAATATAATGCATTGCACTCTACTGCATAAAAAGCTGAAGAAGTTGAGGGTATTGCATTATGCTAGGTCTCCTCTTCCTTGCATGCATGCATGCATGCCATTCTCATTTCTCAACGCTGCGTGCCAGCCCAGTTCGCTCAATTTATCAACTAAGATTATCATTTGTAATCATCTTAAATGAACAAGAGTCATTAATAAATTAAAGTTGTAAAATATTATTACTACAAAATTATTGGGAATTCAAGAGAATAAAATCAATGAAACTTGCTCATTATTGGTGCATAGAAATGTAAATAATAAACTGTATGAGATCAAATCTAGTAATAAAAAAAAGTAAAAACTGTAGTAGAACAGTGGTATAAGACATAAATTCTGAAGTATTTATGCAAAAGTATAAATTAAACACGATACATCTCATATTAAACAGTATATGTATATATACATATAACGTCTCTTAAATTATTAATGGGCCAACTATATAATATGCAATGCAATGGTTGTTACTTATACATATCATAGATGTTTCCTGTACGTACTGATACTTAAATTAATGGTGTCAACTGTCAACTAACACTTCTACTATATAGCTGATGACTCGAGATGCTCATTCATCATCGATCATCACTTATCTTCAATGGTATGTAGTAGTCTAGTAATACTCATTTATACGATATGATCGAGTACTCGTACTATGTTTCGACCCCATCTACTGATTCATATTTCATGTAGGGTCTTATACATCATCCTATCTTAAGTGATTGCTTAATTATTTGATGGCCATTTTGTAAATTTTATCCACATCGTACAATGTAAGACATAATGAAGATTTATTAGTAATAACAATTCTCTACTATTAATTAAAAATGCACAACTTTTCTATTTGGTGTTGAGTTGTTGATTAATATTAGCAAGAACGTTTTTAATTAGTCAAATTTTCTCAAAGTTATAGACGAGAAATAATCATAAAAATATTGGACTCTACTCTCAAAACTTTAACCAATCAGCTACGCTATAGTAGTTGGCATCCATCGAATGAAAATCATAATGCTTGATAGTTATGAAAATAGATTTAGCAAGAAATGAATAATGAGAATTGAACTGCAAAACATACAGGAGAATGTATGCACTGATTCACTAAACTGAGCGCAATAAATAAGCTAGCTTAGGTTAGAGAAGATAAATGCAAGTGTAATGAAAAAAGACGTAAATAAAGAACTAAATTAGATGATCATCGTAGACACGAAGATGCCGTGTCTGCGCATTGAAAGCTAGCAAGGAACTACAAAATCTTGGAGGATGCACCTAGACACTCAATTTCCTTGCTGTTTAATGCCAAATACTATTTGCATTCTCTCTCATTTTTATCCACTTCTATCCACTCTTGTTTCTCCATCTCTTTTTTATCCGGCCAGTCGATCACTAGACCAAGCCAAGCTAGCTTCCTCGTCCTTTCTAGTAGGGGTAGCAATTCGGGTCAGTGGGTCGGGTTTGGGTCGAATTTGGGTTATTCGGGTCGGGTCAGGGATTGCCAGCCCTATTTCTTAGTGCATTTGATATATACATAGTGAAAATTCTATTATAAGTGTCACGTAATACTGTTAAAATAGTTTTGCCATACAAACTTGAACCTCTGTTTTAAGCATCTGAACAGGTGTCAACAGATTATTAATACAAAGCAGAATAGGGCTTAATAGAGTTGAGCAGATCACAACAAAAGAATAAGGCCTGGCCTTACAATATTTATTTTTCACATATTCGGTCCGAAAATGTCCCTTGAGCTAAGGAACGTGGCCGGCGGGAAATTGGCAGAATTATATGCATGGAAATCATAATATAAAGTTTACAATACAAAAAAGGGCATGCAATCCTTAGGAAAATGGAAATCTCCAATCACAGGCAAATTGTGTATAAATGTGTACACTTGTCAAGTGGGGCTCGTGACATCTTTAATATACTACAATTATATCATCATCTCAATTACGTACACTTACAACATATTGAACTGTTCAATTGCTTCTGTTTTGGTCTCAAAGGACAAAAAAAGGGAATATATGTAGTAAGTTTATTTTTCTTTCAATAATTCAGATCATCAACTAGGTTAATAATATTTATATATACAAAAATTTCATGTAGTTATATCAAGTAGTGGTGGCTTGAATTGATGACTTTGTCGTGGGTTCATTACAACGTGTTTATGGAGGTTTAATTAAGGAGGTCATGAAGGTTAGTTGTTTAATGATGATGAATGAATGTGCTCTAGCTAGCTTCAAATGTCCATATACCGATTAGAATTGATATTGATCATAACATGCGTAACATATACTAACACGCAAAAGTAGACTGGGTTATCCTTTTTTTTTTTTTTTTGGTAGAGCGTGTGATTCATAATTCTTATATATACAACCTAGGATAATGATCATGACCATAATCTATAGCATGTGTCCGTTCCTGATCCTCCAACCTTTTGTTAAAAAATAACAATACTTAACCACTATGCCTTAACTTTTTAATTGTAATTATTAAACATCATATTACTTTTAACCAATAACTTAGAAAAATTAAGAGGGGTCGGGCCCCGACCCGTCTCAATGAAGATCCGCCCATGTCTTCATCCGTATTTAAATTACTTATTTTAAGGATAAAAATTATGCAATTTAAACAATGGTTAAGTATTTACTCCATATCAATTTTGTTTGTACTAGTAAATTAAAGCAGTCTAGGATTTATTACGTAATAAAAAAATTTACTGAAGTGGAAGTATGAGAAATTGAGAATAGTTTGAGTTAGTTTCCCAAAAAGACTGCATGTGGTAGATAAGCTGACAACAGGCTAGGCAAAGACGTTCAAAAATAAAGGCCGACCGTTGAAATCATGATTGATTCATTGCAGCCCCTTTTTAAACTAAATCTTTTCACATTTATGGTTTGCTTCCACCTTCTCTTCATGGGACACTCTTTTTTTCTCTTTAATTACCTCTATCTACAAATTCTATACATTTCATTCAAAAAAATTTCCAAATATGGCTAAAACAAACATCTTGCATATAAAATTGACAAGTTTTCCATTAATATTATTTAACATGTTAAATAATATGGTAACACGTGGACATGACATGTCCCACTAATGGATTTATGGACGGAATCCGTTAATTGGCGGTGATTGTGGTAAAAGTCAATTTTCATTTTTTTTAATGTGGTGGTAATAAAAAAAATTTATTAATGGAGGTGGTAAAAAGCAAATAAGTGGTTTTTTGGAGGTGGTAAAAATCAAATTTTCCTTATTGTATTGTTTATGCATGAAACATTATATATGTAGTATATCATTTAACTTGGTGAAGGAGAACAACATGATCATACCAATTTTCAAGAAGTCATGCATGACACAGTTCTATTGTAGGTAGGTTCGATTCTTATGCTCTTTCAAATTATGGTTTGTCAAAATATTAAATAAAAATAATCTTTAAAAATTAGATACCCTAATTAAGTCTATTACACGCTTTTAATTTGTTTTATACTAATCGCTACAGTGAAACTGATTTGGATCCTAATCTTGTCAACTTCGACAATGATTTTCTAATATCTTTTTTTTTTTTTTTTTTGACAAGATTTTCTAATATCTTCATACAAGTTAATTTTTTGAAAACCTCTTTAATCAATATAACTTATTTAGCTTACCATTCTAATAGTAAAATAAATTATTTTTTTTTTTAAAAAAAAAAAAATCCATATAAAGCTTCAATTATTATTATTATTATTATTATTATTATTATTATTATTATTATTATTATTATTATTATTATTATTATTATTATTATTATTATTATTATTATTATTATTATTATTATTATTATTATTATTATTATTATTATTATTATTATTATTATTATTATTACTCCTATAACATGAATTTTTTCCCCAATAATATTACATTTTAGGATGTTATAAATGTTCATACAACTTGTACCTCCCTAAAAAAAAAAAAACTCTAATTTAAAAACCCTATATAAAAAATAAAATTGAATAATAAAATCGTGTGGACCCAAATATGTCCTGAAAGCCATTACTACTAATAGCATCTCTTCTCTTTCTTCCCCCATTTGTAAGAGTACACATGTTTTCTCTCATTTCATCTTCTTTACTATAACCCTTTTCTCACTTCTCTAGGTTTCTTTTTTCTTTTCCTAGGAAAGAAAACAAACCAAAAAAACACAAAAACCCTAGGAAAAAAATAATAATAATGGGTGATAGCATTTCAAGTTTCTTTGATGATCAAGATTTGTGTGATGCTACTTTCTCGGGGCTTCCGGCCTCGCCGGAGGACCTCTTTAGCATCTTTGATGCCTTAGAGAGTTTAAAAGAAGCAGCAGCAACAGGTTCCGGTTCTGGTTCTGGTTCTGGTTCTGGTAGTGTAGATGAAGATACAACAAAAGGAGGTTTTATGATGTCGTCGTTCCAAGACTTGTCTGAGACTGAGCTTGATGCTCTTGAAGCCGAGTTAGGAGATAATGATCATCAGCCCAAGAGTAAGAGGGCTAAGATTGTAACTTTAGAAGAAAGAGAAGAAACAGTAGGACAAGTAGGAAGTGAAGATGGTAGTAAGATATCTCATATAACGGTGGAAAGAAATCGAAGGAAGCAAATGAATGAGCATCTTTCTGTCTTGCGTTCCCTCATGCCTTGTTTCTATGTCAAGAGAGTAAGTTTTTATGTTTTTCATTTATTTATTAGCTAGGGATAAGATTGCATACATCTCGAGTCTTTTTGATTAACAATTACTCATGAAATTGTAGAGTTTCTTAGTGGTAGTTATAGTAATTGATCATATATAGACGTGTTTTTCCTTTGTTTTACTACCTCTATCTGAATTTAGTTGTGTCACAATATTAGTTCAACTTATACTGGCAATGTGACTAGGGTGTAATTTTAGTCAATTTTTTTTAACACCTAGTGTCTACTCACTAACTAACAAAATTCAGCTACCTGTTAATAATTACTCGTAGATCTCTTTTCAACATTTTAGGACCATCTATAATGCATGAAAAGAAGTACTCCATAATTAAAATTGCTCTTTTTGTCATGTTGTACCATTAGTTTTTACACATTCTAATGGAAAATAAAATTGTAAGGATGTAATCTTTGTCTATCAAAAAATACTGTTAGCTTCTGTCTTATGACACTCTATAGTAATCCAACTAATGTACATATATGTTTGGTACGTCTCTAGCTCAAACTCAACCAATATGAGGTACATGGTGGAGTGTGGGACACATACATGTTTTTTTTACCTTTATTTCTAGGTTTGGAAATACATGTACTCCTAAAACTTATATTTTTCCACTAAAAAAACATTAAAAATGTTAATTTATGTACTAATATTTTTTTCGATGTTGATAGAGTCATAAAGACAATGATGTAGACAGACGATTAATGTTTCTCTCCAATTATATATATTAACTTGAATTATTACTGTTTTCTTGATTAAACTAGGGCGATCAAGCATCGATTATAGGCGGAGTAGTGGACTACATAACCGAATTACAACAACTTCTTCAAGCACTTGAAGCCAAGAAGCAAAGAAAGGTTTATAATGAAGTACTTAGTCCAAGAGTTGTTTCAAGTCCAAGACCTTCACCTCAAGTACTTAGCCCTAGAAAACCACCATTAAGCCCTAGAATTAACCTACCAATTAGTCCAAGAACCCCTCAACCAGGAAGCCCTTATAGACCAAGAATGAATATTTCTTCAGCAATGGGTAGTCCTATCGACCTTTCGCCCTCATCTTCAAGCTCTTCCATTAACGATTGTTTTCCTAATGAGCTAGTGGCAAACTCGAGATCTCCAATGGCTGTGGTAGAAGTAAAGTTCTCCGGGCCAAATCTTCTCCTAAAGACAGTTTCGCCTCGAATCCCAGGACAAGTTGTGAAGATTATTTCAACCCTTGAAGAGCTCTCCTTTGAGATTCTTCATATCAACATTATCACCGTTGAAGACACTATGCTCAACTCGTTCACTATCAAGGTAAAACTCTTTCTTTTTCTTTTTTTTTTTTAATAATTGCATGCTATACATTGCATTTTTTTATGTTTCGTAAATCTGCTAAATTATTTTAGTCCTAGGAGTAATTTGGAAAAAAAATTTGAAACAAATAAACAAACAATCATAGTTAAACAAAATTTCACTAATTCTTTCAAAAAAAAAAAATCACTAATAATATTGTCCAAATTTTATTAGGTTTACTAATTATATCAATTAGAACATGGAGTAAGAGATTGATAGAATATATAGAAATCTGATTGACTACCTCATAGAATTTGTTAACATTTTCTAACAATTCTAGCCATAAAGCTTTTTTTTTCTTCCTTTCTTTTCCATATTATCCCTAGATTTAATTATAAACCAAATGTGTTTAAACAAGTCTTGGTCACTATAAGTTTATAAATTCACATGCTCATTTGCAATTCAAAAGGTTTAATTTGCACCCTAGTGCATAATTGACACCAGAGTTTCAAAGGGATTTCATATTGAAATTATACCATAATCATGTATTGAAATATTTACATTCATAAGGTTTACTTTAGATATTTTAAGTCTATATTTATATGAAGTTCACCATACAAGAAAGGTAAAAATATGTTAAAAGTATGTATTTACATATAATGATCTTATCCGTTTTATAATCGATATATAAAGAGTCATGTGATAAAGTGATACAAATAGAATTTGATGCTACTAGTAAAGTGATCTCATAGGTCTAACATAGAATTTTGAATTTAACTTAAAGGTAACGTTCCTAAACTTTTACAGACATAGTGACATTTCACATAAGTTACGTTTACCAATTAAGATGTTAAATTCAAAAAATAAAAAATTAAATATTAACTACTTGTTTGACATCAGTTTTAGTTTTCAGTTTCCTGTTTTTTTTGAAAACCAAAAACAGAAAACAAGAAAAAGGTATTTTCACTTTTCTGTTGTCAGTTTCAAAATTATCATAATTTTAATAAGTTTATATAATTTTTGATTCATTATGGGACTCATATCATATACTTTTTGAAAACAAAAAACCAAAAAACAGAAAATCACAACAATGCCAAACGAACCTTAAGGTGTTAAATCATGAAAGTTGACCTACACATTGCATTGAACATTGATACACAATTGTCATTTTTCTTCCTGCTCCCAAAGTACTCCTTTCTCTGGCATCTCTTACACAATATTTTCTAAATATATTTTCTTGAGGATTATTTTTGCATTGTTTTCAATAATAATAATAATAATAATAATAAAAATGGACCTGCTGATGAAAATCTTAAATGTTACTTACAATAACATACAACTGAGTGAGTGCATGTGTGTTTTTCCTTGTTTTTGCAGATTGGAATTGAATGTCAACTCAGTGCTGAAGAACTTGCTCACCAAATCCAACAAACATTCTGCTCTACTCCACTCATTAATTTTAATTAAATTTAAACCCTTCCTATTTAAATTAGTTAAAATTACCAATATTCTCTCTCAAATTCCACCCTAACTGTACTCAAGAAAAAAATATATTCCAATTACATACTGTAATAATTAATAATTATGAGGGAAGGAATTGCATTTACTGCCGTATATTTTACTGATCAAGTAACTGTAATTTTTTTTTGGTTTAATTCTCTTTTTTAGGGTACAAACTGTAACTTTTTTTTTTTTTTTTTTTTCCCATGATTGTTTGTTCTCTTTTGTGTAACATTTTTTTTCCTTTGTAGTTTTAGACTTTTAGCTATGGTACAGATACCATGTTACTATAGTTTTGATTTTCACATTTTTCAGCAATGAATTTCTATTTCTTTCTTTATATATTCTCCGATATCTCTGTATATTTATTTTCATATACATTTCGTATTAGATTAGTGTTTAATTTATATTTTCCGCAAAGAAAAGCGCAGTGATACATTGATAAGTTATTTTTCTAAAAGGTAGTGAATAAAGTTTGATAAGTTAATTTCCTAAAAGGTACTCCCTCCGTCAATCCGTCCCTAAGTACATGAAATGTTAGACTTTTTTTATTTTTTTTTTATTTTATTTTTTTTATTTTTTTATTCATGCATTAGGTTTAAACATAAATTTTTATTAACATAATAAACATATATTTTATCGTAAAATATGTTGTTTGATAGGTTTTAATATAAAGTTATTATATACTTCGTAGTTTTTAAAATAATTTTTAGGCCAAATTAGAAAATAACACCTATTAAAAACCCCGATTTTGATAATAACACCTGTTGAAAAAAAAGTTTTATTATAACACCTACAAAAATCCCAAAATTTTGGTTTCACCACCCACTAACGGACTTTTGGATGGAAACCATTAGTGGGGCCCGCCATGTACACGTGTCAGCTGTGTATTGGTTTAAAAAAAAGAAATTTTTTTTTTTAAAAAAAAACCTAACCCAGCCAGCCCCACCACCGGCAACACCTACCCCAGCCAAGCCAGCCGCCGAAACCCTCTTAACACCTAGCAAGCCCCAGAAACCTCCTCCCCTAACACCGACAACCCTTCCCTAACGCCGGCATCGCCCGATATCCCCTCCCCTAACACCAGCACCGCCCTAAACCCCATCCCCTAACACCGATAACCCCAAACCTCCTCCCCTAACACTGGCATTCCCCTAAACAGCCAATTTCGTTCGCCTCCACCACGAAATCGACAGATTTGGGGCTTCTAAGGTCGATTTCGGCCGGTTTGAAGGTGAAGGATAATTCCAAGGGTGGTTTTCGGCGAAGGGGCTAGGTGGTTTTCGACGAGGGGGCGAAGGGGCTAGGTGGTTTTCGTGGGGGGGCTGTGGTGGGTGGGGGTGATTTTTCGGGGAGAGGGAAGGGGGAAGGGGATATGCGGGGGTGCTAATGTCGGTGGGGGTGATGGCTGGTGATTCCGCCAGTGAAGGAAGGGTTTCCGGCGGCAGTGGGGGTCTTTGGCGGTGGAGTGACGGCCGCCGGTGGTGGTTGGGTTAGGGTTTAGGGGTTTTTCTTTTTTTTTTTTTTAATTTTACTTTTTTTTTATTTATCTTTTTTTTTAAACCAATACCTTATTGACACGTGTACATGGCGAGCCCCACTAACGGTTTCCATCCAAAAGTCCGTTAGTGGGTGGTGAAACCAAAATTTTGGGATTTTTGTAGGTGTTATAATAAAACTTTTTTTTCAACAGGTGTTATTATCAAAATCGGGGTTTTTAGCAGGTGTTATTTTCTAATTTGGCCTAATTTTTATTAATATTTAATTATTTTATATAAAAATAAAGTCAAACTAGTGCATTGACATGTGTGCAATATTTGAATGTGTCATTTATGGTCATGTATTATGGAACAGAGAGAATACATGTGCAATTGTGCTGAATAAAGTTTGTATCTCAAAAGTATCTCAACCATCTAAAATATCAACACTTCTGCATCATGACCATAACTTTTTATGTACCTAGCTCTAAAACCATACTTATATTAGTCATATGATACAATTTATCATCAGAGGATTAAGAGAGACTAATCTTAATAAAAGTCAACACGAGTCTATAACTTTTAATATGGACGTATGTTAGTTAATTTTGTGAGTACAACCAATAATGTGAATTCGAAGTTTATCCTATGACTAGACTAGATATAGCTAGATACAGCTAGGGGTGGCAAAAACTGACCCGACCCGAAAACCCGACCCGAACCCGACCCGAAAATAGCGGGTTAGGGTTGAGAATTTCGACACGAAAACTTAAATGGGTTGACACGAACCCGACCCGAAATTAAATGGGTTAGGTTAAGGTTGAAAATTTCAACCCGAAAATGACCCACATAACCCGAAAATAATTTTCGGGTCAAAATCAAGTCGGATCAACCCGAACCTGACCTTATAACCCGAATAAAAAAGTCTTAAAAAAAAAAATCATTTTAATGGCTAATGGCCCAAGCCCAATTTAAAGTTCTAAACCTAAAAAAACTCTAAATGTGACTAACCCCCACCAGCCGTTTTTGTCTCCTATTTTCTCATTTTGCCCTCTCTCTCTCTAAACTTCTCTGGTTCTCATTTTCTCAACAATCTCAAGTTCTCAGACACTCCACACTCACTCTTTCCTTTTAGTTCTTTCTCACTCTTTCATTCTCAAGTTCTCAACTTTTCCCTCTTCTCACTCGTTCTCACTCCTCAACGCCTGAAAGGTAATGGTTATTAATTGTTTTTTATTTCGTTTCGTTTTTGTTTTGAATTTCAAGTTCTGATTCTGAATTTTCCATTCTTGTTTTTTTTTTTTTTAAATCTTCATCTCCTTCAAGCCGTCAAACCTCAAACTCTCAAAGGTAATTCTTTTTTAATTTTTGTTGTTTTTGTTTAGATTTTTGTTAATTTCGTTTCTGTTTTGTTGTTTTCGTTTCGGTTTTGTTCTTGATTTTTGATGTTTTTTTTTTCGTTTCAATTTTTTTGTTTTCGTTTCGAGTTTGGTTGTTTTCGTTTTGGTTTTGTTGTTTCGTTAGTTTTGTTCTTGATTTTTGTTGTTTTTGTTTCCGTTCCATTTTTGGTTGTTTTCGTTTCGAGTTTGGTTGTTTTCATTTCATTTTGGTTGTTTTCGTTTGGTTTGTTCTTGATTTTTGTTGTTTTTGTTTCTGTTTCAATACAGATTTGTATTTGATTATTGTTGTTGTTCTTGCATGATAATAGTATTAAGTTTATATAACGTATGATGGGTTGCTTTGTAAATTTCTAGCACAATAATCCAATTCCTGATCTAATTTACAGCAAGAATATATCTTTGACATGCATGTGATTTTTTTTTTAATTTTAGGTCTGATTTAGATTATATCTCTAGCTTGTTGTTGTTGACTTGTTGTTTATTTTATATTGTTGTTCTTGTCCAAATAATTTCTGATTTTTTGCGGTAATTATGGATGTTGATGTTTAGATTATATCTCTAGAAAGAATAGATTAGTTTTTGTCTCTTGTTTTAAAATAAATGTTTTATTTTGTTATAATTTTTGCAGTAATTATGGATGCCAATGTTCAACAACTTTCTTCCGAGGAAGAGGAGATTGACTCGACAACACAAGACAAAGGAAATGGTAAAAACCAGAAAACTTCTTCTGGTAAACCTCGTGTGATTCTTACTGGTAAGAAACGTCAACGTCGGCTTTCTTCTGGTGTTTGGGTGAATTTTGATTTTTTAGACGAGCCTGATGAAAATGGTAATCTAATTTGCAAATGTAAAAAGTGTGGTATACATTTTAATGCTGATAGTAAGAATGGAACTGGGAATCTTCATCGTCATTTGAAAAATTGCAAACAAAGGTCTTTTAGGGATGTTGGTCAAATGATATTAGAGAAAACATCCTCTGGTTTAGGAAATAGATTGCGTGAATTTGATGCTAATTATTTCCGTGAATTATTATCTCTTGCTATTGTGGAGCATGATATGCCATTTCAGTTTGTAGAGTTCAAGGGTTTTAGGAGATGTTTTAATTATTTGCATCCTGATTTCAAACCTGTCACTCGAAATACTATCAAATCTGATATACTTAAGATGTATAAAAGAGGGAAAGAAAAATTAAAAGCTGTTTTGGGCTCAACTTGTAGTAGAATTGCATTGACTTCTGATTGTTGGACTTCTATAACCACTGATGGTTATATTTCATTGACAGCTCATTATGTTGACAAGTCTTGGTGTTTGCAAAAAAAGATTTTGAACTTTTCTTACATTGGTCCTCCCCATACAGGAATTCATTTATGTGATCATGTGTATGGTTTGTTAAAAGAATGGGGTATTCAAAAAAATATTTTTTCAATTACATTAGATAATGCTTCTTCAAATGATGTTTTTGCTGAAAAGCTAAAAGGGGAACTTGAGTTGATTTGTGGTGGGGAATATTTTCATGTAAGGTGTTGTGCTCACATTCTTAATTTAATTGTTCAAGATGGTTTAAAAGAAATTGATGAGGCTGTGTATAAGATTAGAGAGAGTGCCAAATATTGTAAGAGTTCACAAGCTAGGAAACAAAGGTTTTTAAGTTGTGTATCACATGTTGAAATTCAATCTACTAGAATTTTACAACAAGATATTCCTACTAGATGGAATTCAACTTACATGATGCTTGATTGTGCTTTGTATTTTAAAAAAGCTTTAATTCACTTTCAAAAAGTTGATGCCAATTATGTACATTGTCCTTCTGTTGAAGAATGGGGTAGAGTTGAAAAAATATGCAAGTTTTTGAAAGTTTTTCATGATGTCACACTTGCCTTTTCTGGGACCAAATATCCAACTTCCAATCTCTACTTTCATAGAGTCTTACAAGTTAGGTTGTTGTTACAAAATGAAATGAAAAGTTCAGATCTTTTTATGCAAAAAATGGCTTGTAAAATGTATGAGAAATTTGGAAAGTATTGGTCAGAATTTAGTACATTTATGGCTGTTGCTGTGGTGTTGGATCCACGATATAAGTTGCAATGTGTCAATTGGGGTTACATGAGGATATATGGTCAACATAGTGTTGAATACGAGCTTGAGTTTTCTAAGGTTAAGGATGCTTTACGGAGGTTGTACGAGGCTTATGCATCCAGTCATTCTTCATCAAGCAATGTTATTCCCACTGCTAATGCTTCCAATGCTAATGAAGCTTCCGATGATTTTATGATGGTAAACAACTTTCTGAGTTTCTGTCTTTCTGATGCATTTACCTTTATTGCAAGTGAAAACATATCCTGATTTAATAATCTGATTTTTTATAATCTGATTTTATTATAATCTGATTTTATTATAATCTGATTTTATTATATCTGATTTATTATATTATAATCTGTGATTTATTGTATTATAATCTGATTTTTATTTTCTGATTTTTTGTGTCATGGCGTCATGCTACTCATATAATTTGATTTATTGTATTATAATCTGATTTATTGTATTATAATCTGATTTATTATATTATAATCTGATTTTATTGTATGATAATCTGATTTTTATTTTTTGATTTTTTGTGACATGCTACTCATGTAATCTAATCTTGGTATATAGGATTTTGATAGTTTTTCTATGGAGCAATCAAATGTGGCAATCAAATCTGAAGTTGATATGTATTATGAGGAGCCACTTATCCCCCGAGGCACCAACCTTGATATTTTGTCTTATTGGAGAACTTGCTCGGTCCGGTATCCTATATTAGCTAAAATTGCTAGGGATGTTCTTGCTGTCCCCGTATCAACTGTGGCCTCCGAATCAGCTTTTAGTACTGGAAGTCG